TGGTTATTTCTTTTCTTCTGCTGGGTTTGGGGTTGGAATGTTCTTCCTTTTCCAGTTGCCAGAGGTGATCCATTAAGTTGTTGGCCTCCTCTCTTTCTGTTTTCTTGATGAACACTTCCAATGCTATAAATTTGTCTCTTAGAACTGCCTTTGCAGTATCCCACAGGTTTTGATAATTTGTGTCTTCTTTTTAATTTAGTTCCAAAACTTTGGTGATTTCCTTCTTAATCTCATCTTTGACCCAGCTATCAGTCAGCCTAAGATTATTTAGCTTCCATGACTTTGAGTATGGAGATTCCCATTGCTGTTGAGTTCAACTTTTATTCCATGGTGGTCCGAGAAGATACAAGGAATAATTTCTATACTTTTAAATTTGCTGAGGTTAGACTTGAGTCCTAGGATATGGTCTATTTTGGAGGATGACCTGTGGGCTGATGAGAAGAATGTATATTCAGTTTTATGAGGGTGAAATGTTCTGTAGAGGTCTGTACAGTCCATTTGTTCTAAGGTCAGGTTTAAGTCTAATATTTCTTTGTTTACTTTCTTCTTGGAGAATCTTTCCAAAACTATCAAAGGGGTGTTAAAATCTCCAACTACTATAGTGCAGGAAGATATCAAGTTGTTCATATCCATTAGGGTCTGCTTTATGAATTGAGGAGAATTCTGGTAGGGTGCATAAATGTTCATTATCTACATCTCTTCATGTTGGGTGTTTCCCTTGACAAATATGTAATGACCTTCCTTATCTTTCTTTATCTTTGTTGGTTTAAAGCCAATTGTATCTGCTACTAAAATTGCAACCCCTGCTTTTTTCTGGTTTCCATTTGCCTGTATGATACAAGTGCATCCCTTCACCCTGAGTCTATTTTTATCCTTTAAGGTAAGGTGAGATTCTTGTATACAGCAGATGTCTAGTCTTAGTTTATGTATCCAATCAGCCATCCTGTGCCTCTTTAGAGGACAATTTAAACCGTTCACATTAATTGAGAGAATTGATAAGCCTGGTTGTGTTTTTGGGTGTCATGATTTTTGGATGTCCAGTGGACATTTTTAATCCTTTCACCACTGTGGAAGTTGGATTTTGTTCAAAAAATTTCGGGGTGAGTTTACTTTGGAGGTAGAGCATTGCACTGGTTGTTGTGGAGGATGGGTCTGAGAATATCCAGGAGAACTGGTTTAGTTATGGCAAAATTCTTCAATATGTCTATGTCATTAAAGCATTTGATTTCTCCATCACAAATGAAACTCAGTTTAGCTGGATAGGATCCTGGGCTGGAAGTTTTTTTGTTTTAAAAGATTGAAAGTTGATGACCATCTTCTTCTGGGTTGAAAAATTTCAGCTGTGAGATCTGCAGTTATTCTGATATTTCTTCCTTTGTAAGTGATGCTTTTCTTATGTCTGGCTGTTTGCAGAATTTTCTCCTTCATCTTCACTTTGGCAAAGTTAATCACAATGTGTCTAGAAGATGCTTTATTTGGATTGAGTCTTGCTGGGGTTCTGAAACTGTCTGCTATCTGAAGTTCTGAACCTCTTGCAATGTTTGGGAAATTCTCCTCCAAAATCTCTTGGAGTAGAGCATCTGTACCTTTAGGACCATCCTCTTCTCCTTTGGGAATTCCTATAAGATGAATGTTTGCTCTTTTGGAGTGATCCCACAACTCTCTCAGGGAATGATCTGTTTTTGCTCTCCATTTGTCTACCTTGTTGAGTGTCCAGGAAGGTTCAAAAACTTTGTCTTCAGTTTCAGAGATCCTTTCTTCTGCCTGGTCAACTCTATTAGTCAGGAATTCCACTGTATTTTGGAGCTCCTCAACTAACTTTTTCACTTCTGTGAACTCTATTATCTCTTTTCTCATTATGTCCATATCTTGGGTGACTTGAGACAACTTTAGAACTACTCTTTGGAATTCAATTTCCATCTTTTCTTCCATTCTATTTATCTTATTTGCAATCCATATTCTGAATTCAGTTTCTGACACTGCTGCCATTTGTCTATGCATGGCATCTTCAGTTGTATCTCCTTTGTCATTTCTTGGAGGGGGGGGATTGATCTACTCTGGTTATTCATGTTGCCAGAGTTCTTCTGTTGAGTCTGCACCATGTTTATTTTCTACTATTTGGTTATTAGAACTGGTAGGGTGATTGAATTGGGGTTCCCAGGTAATAGAGATATCCCCTTACCAACCTTAAAAAGCCCCCCTTCAGAGTTTTGGCTGGAGACTCTGAGGACCTACTTGGTGAGACAGTGCAGGCTAGCTCTGTTTTGATATCAGCCAACCTCTACCCTATCCTAAGAAACCACCCTATTAGATTTAAATCTTAACCGTGAAGAGATACAAATAGCTGCATTCCCCAGCCCCCACCCTTCAGTTTTTTTCCACTACAGAACTTCAGAAGTCAACCTCAGAATGTCACAAAGTAGTCAGCCCCAGACACGGATTCCAACAAAATTGTCTGGCAGTGCAAACCCTGCCCAACATAGAGGGATTCAAGGACAATTCAAAACAAAGGAATTCAAAGCACAATTGGAGCCAGGGATCCACACGCCCACCTGACAGACTCAGTCCACACTATTGTCTGCTTCTCTGCTCACAGGCCCAGCTGGAGCCAGGCATTACCCCACCTATCGGTCTCAGTTCACACACAGCTAGCCTCTGGAGTAGAGTCTGGAGTAGTGCCTGCCAAATCAGTTGGGGTCAGGGGACCATGCCCCCTCTTGCCAGTCACAGTCCACTGGCTGGCAAGCCTCTGTTTGCAGCCTCTGTTGGAGTCAGGGCACTGGGCCTGCCCTCTGGTATCAGTCCACACACAGCTAGCCTCTGCTTGCCAGACCAGTTGGAGTTAGGGACCATGCCCTGCCTGCCAGTCTCAGTCCACTGCCTGGCAAGCCTCTGTTCGCAGACTCTGCTAGAGTCAGGGCACCACACTCCACCCACAGGTCTCAGTCCTCACCTGGTAGGCCTCTGCTCATCAGCCCCACTGGAGACAGTAGAGTACACCCTAGCCCTCAGGGCTTGGTTCACACTCAGTAAGCCACTGCTTGAGGGTTCTGTTGAAAACAGGAGACCACGCCCTTGCTCTCAGGTCACAGTCCATGCCTATTAGGCCTCTGCTCACAGGCCCAGCAGCGACCAGTCTCGTCTGCCAAACTCAGTCCACATGGGGCAACCACTCTCCTGCTGTGGATGCTGTCAGAGCCAAGGGTTCTTTACCCCATCCCACCAGACACAGCCCAAACCAAGGGTCAAAACTACCACTGGCCAGGCATAGTCATAACCAGGGGACTGCTCCTCCTCCCACCAAGTATCCCTTTCTTCCCACACCCTCTTTCTTCCCCATTAGTCACAGATTTCGTCCTGATGGCTGGCAGTCCACACTGTGCCCAGGTCTCTCAGGACAAAACCAAACACTCTGTGCTCTGCAGGGGGCAGAGCTTCAGACCACCATGCAAGGGGGAAAGGGTGGACTGGGAGTTTGGACTTGTGGGGAAAAATATCTGTTGAATTTTATGCCTGGCAGGGGGGTGTCTAGGTTCCTAAGTGGGACCTTCCTGGAGAAAGAGACCTGGAGTTTAGCGGCTCTCTCCAGCAAGGTAAAATGAGAGGTCTTTTGTTCCCTGCTCTTTCGCAGATAGCCTGCAGCAGTCCTCCTGCTTGGGGGAGGGGTCTCCCATCCTCTAGTCAATAGGTTTTGTACCTCTAACTTGATTTCTTGAATGCTCTTCCTGGGAGTTACAGCTTGCCGAACTTCTTTCTTGGCTCAGCTCCCTGTCTTTGGCTTCATAGAGTCTGCTTCCATCTGGTATTTCTTCCTTTGCTCAGGAGCCTCTGACAAGGGTTGCTACCAGTCAGCCATCTTCCCAGAATTCTCCCCACATTTCTAAACTATTAAGAATAGAGTGTGAATGTCTTACCACAACAAATAAGTAAGTGAGGAGAAGGGTATCTTAATCAGTTAGAAGTAAGAATTCCATATTGTATACCAAATCAGCACATTATACCTCATAAATGCATTAATGTACACAGTTATGATTTAATAAAGAATTTTAAAAATTAAAAAAATGTAAAAAACAGACAAAAAGTGATGGTGAGGATGTGAAGAAATAGAAATCTTCATACATTGCTGCTTGGAATATAAAACAGTGTGGTCATTTCAGAACACAGTTTGATAGTTCCTCAAAAAGTTAATCATATAGCTAACACAAGACCCAGCAAATCCACTCCTACACACATAACTAAGACAAGTGAAAACATATATCCATGCAAAATTGGCACATGGGCTGGGCACAGTGACATGTGCCTGTAAAGCTATCACTCTGGGAAGCTAAGCTGGGAGGCTCACTTGAGCTAAGGAGTTCGATACCTGCCTGAGCAAGAGAAAGACTCCATCTCCACAAAAAAAAATTAAAAATAAATAAATAAATTAGCTGAGTGTGGTTCCCATGCATATAGTTCCAGTTACTGGAGAGACAAGAGGATCATTCAAACCCAGGGATTTGAGGCTGAAGTGAGCTATGATGATGCCACTATATTCCAGCAAGGATGACAGAGTGAGACTTAGTCTCAAGGAAAAAAAATCTGTATATATCAATGCTCATAGCAGCATTGTTCAAAATAGTCAAAAATTGGAAACAACCTAAATGCCCATCACTGATAAATGAATAAAAAATTATAGTACCGCGATATGATGGGATATTATCCAGTCATAAAAAAATAATTTTTATTTTTTTATTTCAGATTATTATAAGGGTATATATGATAAGGTTACATTGTTTGCATTCATTAGGTAATGTCCAAGTGGTAGTTAAGCCCTTCACCCAAGAGGTGTGCCATATACCTCTATATATTTCCTGTTAGCTGACAGCTTACCAAGCCCTCTCCCTCATCCCTCTTCTTGAATTTGTGTTTTTCTTTCATGTGGGCATGTAGTTGTTCATTTACTAGTTTCATATCAGTATTGAGTACATTGGATCTTTGGTTTTCCATTTTTGTCATACTTTCCTTAGGATGATGTTCTGCAAATCCATCTAGGTAAATACAAAAGATTTAAAGTCTCCATCTTTCTTTATGGCTGAATAGTATTCCATGGTACACATACACCAGACTTTATCATTTGGGAGTTAATGGGCACGTGGGTTGTTCCCACATCTTAGTGATTGTGAATTGAGCTGTGATAAATATTCTAGTGCAAGAGTCCTTATGGTAAAATGACCTTTTTCCTTCTGAAATATCTAGTAAATGAGATTATAGGATCAAATGGAAGGTCTACTTTTAGCTCTCTGAGGATTCTGAGTCAAAGCTGCAGATGCTGGTGTGGATGTGGAGAGAAAGGTACACTTACACACTGTTGGTGGGATTGCAAACCAATACAGTACAGTCTTTTTGGCAAGAAGGATGCAGAAAAAAAAGAATTTTTAACTATTATTCAGCCATTTAAAAATACTTCATTATGGGTGAACCTTGAAAATACTATGCTAGGCTCAGCGCCTGTGGCTCAAGTGGCTAAGGCACCAGCCACGTACACCCAAGGTGGCGGGTTCAAATCTGGCCCAGGCCCACCAAACAACAACAATGGCTGCAACCAAAAAATAGCCAGGCATTGTGGCGGGCACCTGTGGTCCCAGCTACTTGGGAGGCTGAGGCAGGAGACTCACTTGAGCCCAGGAGTGGGAGGTTGCTGTGAGCTGAGATGCCACGGCACTCTACCCAGGGGGACAGCTTGAGGCTCCTGTCTTAAAAAAAAAAAAAAAAGAAAATACTATGCTAAGTAAAGGACTCCAATCATAAAAGACCAAATATTATATCATTTATATGAAATGTCCAGAATAAGCAAATACATAACAGAAAATGGATTGGTAGAGGCCTAAATCTGGAGTGAGGAGTGGAATATGTACAGAGTTTCTTTTGGAAAAGTTAAATTTTTTTAAAAGTTAAATTATGGTGATGATTACACAGCTCTTTATAGTCAATGAACACTGAACTCTACACTTGAAATGAGTGGGTTTTATAGCATGTGAAATATATCTCAATAAAACCATAAAAAAATGAAACTCAGAGTTAACTAAGATTCTCCGTGTACATGGAGCGGGTTTATATAGAGATACACAGTTTATAAATAGATATGAATAACTTCATACTCGAGGGCCTGGAACAAAGCTCTAATTATAAAGAAATCAATTCTGCCCTCTCTAGTCTCTTTCTTTTTGGATTTCTTGGTAATTCACATTTGCATGGGCTGATGATGTAAATCCAGCAATGGGTTTAATGAAAACCGAGAAGTAAGCATAAATTAAATTCACTAGAGATGTTTTTCTCCTTCACCCTGCTCCTAGCCCCCTGTTATTTTTGTAAGAATCTATGTCTTCAAGAGAATTCAGAGAAAAAAATTTAGTGTCATCCTAAGCCTACTGAGTGTCTTAGAACCGTGCAAATTCCAAATAATTGTCCATGGTAATTCTAGGAAATAAGACAATAACAATAAAAACAAGAACACACCAAGTTGACTTGTACTTTAGTAGAACGTGGGAACCTAACCTGAGAATGTGTGAAGGTGCTAGTTCCCTACAAATACTCAGAGGAATATTTACCCATTTAACATGAGATGGGATGGTATTTAGAAGTATTTTTTTTAGCTGGGCATTGTGGCAGGCACCTGTAGTCCCAGCTACTTGAGAGGCTGAGGCAAGAGAATCACTTAAGCTGAAGAGTTTGAGGTTGCT